CCAAGTGCACTTATCCCCAATTTGTTGATGGCAAAACGTATCGTTTGGCAATAGCCGTCAATGGACTAATTCCTGGACCTACCTTGATTGTTCACGAAGGGCAAACTGTTGAGGTGCATGTTCACAATAATCTCACCACTGAAGGCATTTCAATTCACTGGCATGGGATGCATCAGAGAGGAACACCTTGGATGGATGGTGTGGGGCAAGTAACTCAATGTCAGATAGGACCATCGTCGACCTTCACGTATGTGTACAAAGCTGAACCTGCCGGCACGTTTTGGTACCACTCTCACAGCGGTGCTCAAAGAACAGATGGCTTCTTTGGTGGACTTGTTGTAAAAGAAAGTCCTGAGAAAATGACCCAGATTCGAGATAAACTCCATAGGCACCGTGCATTTGAAGACCTTCCAGATCAGCACACCTTAACGCTTCTAGACTGGCAACATGAGGCTTCCTTGGACCTGTTCACACAGATTCACGCCAGTTTGGGCTTTTACCCAGGCAAGCCGCTGGGGGAGGTGCCAACTAAAGATGATTTAAAGCGGCAGTATAACTCCACGCGTAGTTATGAAAAAGGAGAGGTTGGGCCAGTCCCGTATTTTTCCGGAATTATAAATGGAAAAGGCAGGCATGATGATGTTCCATACATCAAAACCAGACTCAGTATATTTACTGTTCAGGCCGGTAAGACGTATCGCTTTCGGCTCATTGGAGCCCAAAATCTGTACGCCTACAAATTCTCCATTGATGGTCATAAGCTGACTGTGGTGGGCACTGATGGATACTGGATCCAGCCTGTAGAAAACGTTGATTACATCATCATTCACACCGGAGAGAGGTTTGACTTTCTACTTGAAGCAAAACATACAAGAAAAGACTACTGGATACGTGCAGAGACTCTGGAGATTGATCACAATGGCCAAGGGCCACCATACAAGTCATTAGAACATGTGGCAGAAGCTATTTTGCACTACGAAAAGGATGGAGACTCAGCCGACCCCAATGTTAATGTGCCGTCGACAAATTACGAAGATATAAAAGGAACGTCTCCTCCCCTACAGTGCTCCTCCTGCAAACCATGCAAAGCAGTAAACTGCCCATTCAAAAACTTCCATCCATATTATAATATTACCTGTATTAATGTTCAAGACCTACGTTTACTTGAGCCAACTCCACCAGCGGAGCTTCCGAACGCAAACCCTAAAATCCCAGGGCAATGCCAAAATTGTCGACATTTCATCAACTTCAACTTTGAGGGTGACTCTCAAACTAGTGCAGTGAATGGGCGCAATTTCATTCTTCCCTCCTTTCCTCCTCAAACCCAACCTGAAGAGTTTCTCAAAAAGGACAATATTTGTGACCTGAAAGCCGACTGCAACCCATCAACACCCGCGTGCTCATGTGTGCAAGTGATAACTATTCCCCATAAGGAAACTATTCAATTGGTATTTTCAGCAATTGGTGCTTTCCACAACGCTCATCCAATTCACCTTCATGGCCATACCTTCCATGTAGTTCATGTCGGGTACCCAGATTATGACCCAATAACTGGTTTTATTACAAACCACACCGGTGATATATACTGCGATGACGTTCACTGCACACAACAGAACTGCGATAAGAAGAGATGTACCAGACCAAGATGGAACCGAGAAAAGCGCTTTTCTATAGATTCCCATACGATCAGAAAGGACACAGTTATGCTCCCTGCTGGAGGGTACGTTGTTATCAACTTTCTATCCGATAATCCTGGCAACTGGTTTCTCCACTGCCACATAGAGGTACACCAGCTCGAGGGAATGGCAATGATTGTCAATGAAGCTCCACACGAGCAAAGTCAATTGCAACCACCGAAAGAGATGAACAAGTGTGGAGACGTTGAGATAAGTGTCCAAACGTATCAAAACTATCAATCCAAGTTCCACAGAATGTACGCTTAGCTGCCAAAAAAAAGGTTTTAGCACTCTCAGCAGCCAAAAGTCTAACTACAACCACTTAGCTCTTAGTCAAAACTATAACAAAATTCTCGAACGTGATTGGTTATCACCAGCCCGATTTGAGCACTAATAGGACAGTGCACGCGTCATGCTTGTAATTGGACAGTGTAATAGGATATTTTAAGGGATAGTAAACACGTCGTGCCTATGTTAGTGGACAAAACGCGTCATGTGCGTGCGTTGTCACGCATTTCACCAAGTTAACAGTTTTTTTACTAAAAACGTATAACCGATGTCTATTTTCTTTCTCAAATTTTGTCATGGTTTTGACTATTTTGTAACAGGGCTTCGTGTCTTCCGATTCTGTCTGTAATCATACCTGTGATGAACAAATAGGTCTCCCGCTTCGCGGTCGTCCTATTTTGTTAATCACTCGTATGATTATAGACAATTCAGTCCTATTACCATTATTAATTAGAAAACAATCGGTGGAAATGCATGTGCTAAAAGCCGTACTTTCTCTCCGTAGCTTTCTCTTCGTGCGAAACACAAGACTAGCAATTAAGTTGCTACTGCTCGTTATTCGATGAATAACCGAAGCGATGCGTCGTGCATGTATGTAACTTGACAACCTTTTTCAAGAGGCAAATTCTACGTCGACTCGCCTTATTTTCAGATCCAAACGTTCTTTCTTTTACTCAAGGTAACGCAAAGGAAAATCATGGTATCGAATAATAAACACACATCAGACGCGCATAATACCTATATGTGCGTACATTTGTTCGCGTATATATGCGTCTAACAACGTGCAAATGTGTGTACCAAATTTCTATGCGTAGTTAACGAATAGTTACGCGGCTCTGTAGTTGTTGACGCAATCTCTGTTGGAAACAGAGTGGCATTGTTAGGAAGGTATTCCTCAAATTTTTCAAAAATTTCAGTATCCTCAACAACTTCAATGACACTTTATGAATGCTGATTCAGTAAGTAGCAATGTCGTTCATTACGTTATCAGAATGCTTTCCACGTATTTTCTTTAAGATTTTTATTAAGTTCAGCAGGCATAGCAAAGGCTAGAACGGGGCCTAGTTCCTGCAAATGTTAGCCAATGATAGCTACCGCACCTCAACCTTGAACTTCAATACTAGTCCTAGTGCGAGTTCTCATAACATCACCTCTAGAGTTTGGCTTGTCGGGAGGGAGGGGGATCACTACCACAGAATTTAGGCCAACCAGTAAGCAGAGAGGATAGTGGGAAATATTCATCCTAAACCCTTCTTATCGTTACTATGTAAGATTACAAGGCTATACATGTACCCAGCTAATGATGGGTTTAATTTTGGTAAGCAAAACACGTATCACCCACAACCAAATATTATCTTGGTCGATTTAACGAGACAGTGGACTTTTGTCGCGTTTAAAGTAAATTGTTAGCTGATTAGGAAAGAAGAGAAAAATGAGATAATAGTGAATTTCGTCGGGTTTCAAGTGAACTGTTTAAGCTGATGGAAGACATTTCGGATGTTTAGCAATCAGTTTGTAGTACTTGTATCTATAAGCTAAGCTAAAACCTTGAATTTCTTATTACCTTTTGAAAGTGTGTTAAAAATGACCTACTTGATTTCCTAAGATTTTCGCAGATTCAGGATTCTGTACTTTGGACGAAACTTAGATATTTCAGACTACTACTCAATTACGTCTTTGCTGAATTTTTTCATTACTTTGTTTACGGTGTATTTTAAGTTTTTTTTTGCCTTTTTTTTTGGCAGATATTCAGTATTTAACCAGTAATATCTTTGTATTCGTAGGCTTTGCTGAATGCTTGATTACCTCACTGAGTAGATTACTATAAGCAATACCGTTGTACTTTATTGAGTGTCGTAAAACCTAAACTAAATCTCAACAGCCAATCCGAAGAAAGAAAAGCAGCACAAGAGGCCAATTATACCCGCACCTGTGCGAGGCCCTGGAAAACATTTTAGTTTTGGATCTGATTGGTCGAGAGGATGTTGTGATATTTCTGGACCAATCACCGGTCAAGGTAGACCAGAACGAGAGAAGTTATGCATTACTTTTGACACTCAGTTAAAATGTGTTCTTATGCATCATGAAAACTTCAGTCATAAGGAAAAAATAGACGCAGAAACTTGCAAGTAAAATTTGGTTGAATGAGAATATTAACAGTTGTTTTATTCATTAGTTTCTGATTTGATGTTTTCAATGTTCATACAGACATTTCGCATAAGTGCATTCGCATAATTTACTCTTTAGGAGGGGTCACCTTTGACAAACAGTAACACACATTAATTCATTAACTGAGTTGATAATGTAAATCAGCCACAGTATAGAGTTTAAAAGCCAACGTTTCGAGCATTGGTCCTTCGTCATTCGCTCTGACGAAGGGCTAACGCTCGAAACGTCAGCCTGTAAACTCTTTACGGTGGCCAATTTACATTATCAACTCAGTTGATAAAACCAAAATTATCTTGTTATACCCTCCCACCGAGCAGCACCACAGTTTCTTTGAAAACTTACCCCCTTAAATCAATAACACATATACACTGATAAAGTTGTTTAGTAATTGATTGACTGTGATCTTTCGCACGCATGTTTCATCTCCTTGGAGGAATGCATGAAGGAGAAGAGCACTCACAACTACCCCTCCTCCCCCCTTCCCCCCCCCCCCCACCCCCTTAAACAAAAATTGGAGGAAAATATGAAGATGCAAGTTTCATTTTCCAGTTCAATACACAATTGAAAATAATTTTTGGTTACCTGATCAAACTCTGAAAACTTTGAACAAGGAATATGCTTGGAAATGGGACTTTAACCACATATTCCTCGTTAGAGTTGATTGATTAAATTGCTTTCAAAATGTTCATTTGATGTTTCCTTCAATCCGGTAGAAGTGTTTTCAAACGATTTCTTTCAAACAGGTTCATTGGAGATCTTTGCTTCCTTTAAAGAAGGACTGATAATTTTTTTTTTTTTGGAAAATGACAGTTTAAAGCTCTCATGTTCTTGTGGGAACACCCCATGATATTTACACAACCTCCGAAATCAACTCCACTTCACCCATTTAAAGAAATTGCAACGAGCTTCAGGATTGGAGCTGTGTCCTTGTGGTCTGGCACAACAATGAAACTGCCTCTCTTGATTTGGACCTCTGATTTTCACTGTTCTTAGGACGCACGGCTCCTTGTGACCCCTACAAAGAGGGGGTGGACGCGGCCCAGAGAGAATACTTTTCCAAATTGCCGCATCCACTTTACGCTTCTCTGCGCAATCTTTGCGACTCAATGCGTTTTCAGGGACAGGTTCGTTCTCAGAAACATTTAAAGCCGCGTCTGAAAATGAAACGGAGGTATTTGAAAGTGAAGAGACGTTATCCGCGCCTGCGTACTGTTCAAACTCGGAAGGAGTAGTCTTAACTAAATCAAACGCTTCGTTAGTTACCTCGGTAACACTCTTATTGACTGCCACCGGGTCTGTAGACCTTTTAAAGAAACTAAACAGATTTGTCTTTGGCTGTCCTTCAGCTTTGTTTTTCCCTCCGGCAGATTTTTGACGTTTTACAGATTTGCTTTTGACATCACCGCAAGAGGCACTTCGTTTTAAGGACGTCTTTGTTACCTGTGTAACACTTAAGTCCGTAGAACAAGCCTCTATGTCACATGATGAACCATTTCATTATCAATAATCAAATGATATGGTAAAAACAGTGACGTTGGGTCAGCATTCGAGCAGAGTGGGCCACTCTACCAGAGCTTGTCCACAATTCCCATTGCATGAAGTTACTAAGATTGTTGCTTTTCCCACTGGATGTTGTTGGTCCATGGCAGGTTACCCCCAAGCATTTCCACCACTTTCCCTGAAATTTGGCCTAAACCCATTTATTCTGTTGGGTAGACTGAGGAAATGGGAGAGTTAAGTGTCTACCCTGAAAACACAACACAATGAGCAGCCTGGTCTTGCAGCAAGAGCTCATGACCTCGCATGAAGGAGAAGCTGCTTGTGCCCATTGGACAAGTCTGACATACTAGCTGTGACCCTAAGGCTATTAAATCTCCCAAAAACAAAACGAATGGAAAATGAAATTTTTATAGTATTAAAGAAGAGGGAAAAAATTAAGGTATGGCTGAAATATTTACCTCTTTGTCAGGATCACAATGATCTATCATTTTATGTGATGTGTTAATGTCACCAAGAAAAATGACGTGCCTACATTGCAAGGAAAAATAAATAACTGAGGAAGGTCAAATCTTGACATTTCAGTATGGTAAATACATCTGTAGATGTATCTTGAGGTTCATGCTCCTCTCTTAAGGATTGGTATAAATTAACAGGTTGGTTTATAGGGTAAGTTAGCAAAAATATTATTTCCTAAAGATACTGTTGGGCTCCACTAACAGGCAAGAGAAACAGCAAGTTGGTTGTGAACTACAAGTTGATTGACCCTTTAACTCCCAGAAGTGATTAACTTAACACTTCTCCCTACAATATTCATACATTATTCAGCAAACAGGTGATGAGAATATTCAAACTTATCAGGTAGAAGCTGCTACCTTGATCTAGCACCAAATTCTCATGACTAATTTACAAGGAAATGTGTAACAGTTACAGGGGAGGATTAACAATCAGATCTTGGGAGTTAAAGGGTTAAGGCACACATGATTAGCACTGAAATTGCCAATGCCAGTATGACAAAAACCAATAGCCATTAGCTAAACAATCCCTTAAAAAAGTAAAACAATGTTTAATTTCCACACCTTCATTGAGGCATAACTGGGTAATTTAGTATTGTTGACTAAACTGATAACATTATTTGGCCACTATAACCCTTTGCTCTAGATAAAAAAAGGGCTAACACTCAAAACATCAGCTTTGAAACTCTTTACAGAGGCCAATTTATACTTTCAACTCAGTTGAGAACATAAAGTACCCTGTTATACTCTCCCACCAATGCAGCACCACAGTTCTCTTAGAAACTTATCCCCTTTATTAAATTGAGGCACAGCTTTTTCATTTATTAAATGCAAATATTAAAGACAAAAAAGCCAAACAAAAGAAACATACAGTTTCTGTACCTTCCTGCATTGACAAGGGATTCAGCTCTCTCCTGCAGCAATTTATAAAAGTTCATTTTAAAATCCACTCTTTCCTTATTTTCCTTGTCAGCTCTGGGACAGTACACATTAATAATAACAACTGACTTGCCCTCAGGGAGAGTATGTTCTGTGAGTATGGCACGACCCTCATTATCCAGAGCTTCTAGCTCATCAGGTGTGAAGTCAGTGTTACTGCCGTAACAGGCAATAGATGGCTGAGGAGTAAGGCAACACGAGAGACCCTCCTCAGCAGCTTTAGGTGTCACTGCGTTGCGGCAAAATGTTGCAACTCCTGTGGAAAAAGCACCCACAGTTAGCTAAAATTACAAACAGTGCATTCTTAAGATCTGGAAACTCATTTATGCATACATTTCCTCTCTATGCTATTCAAGAGAATTGAGGTGTAACATAACCTTGTCTACATTAAAAGAGTAACATCATCCATTCAAAATGGAATTTTTATGCTCTGCAAAGAACCAAAGGTGAATCCGCATGCATGGCAAGAGTTCCACAGCAATGGGAGTTTATATCCCAATTTCCATGCAGTATCATGAGGGAAATCAGAGTTTTCTTCTCCCACTCTCCTCACCCTGTCCAAAGAATAAGTTGCTATCCAGTGTATAATTAGTAAATAAAACCCTTCAGGCAGCTGGTATGTCACATGATAATGTACTGTAAGTGGCTGAGGTATTGTTGGAAAAATAAATATTTGGCAGAGAAGTGAAGCTTTGAGGGAAAATGTGAAATTTTGAGGATAATCAGGGGTTTAATTATTTTATAACCCCTCCATTAAATTTTGTATTATTAGCTTCTCAAAAGTGAAGACTGGATACTCTGGTATGTAAAAGATAGCAATTTTGTCCCTCCTCACCAATTTTGGTTGTGCTTTTGAAAATCAAACTGTAACGTACAGCTTTTGAGCTTATGCTAGCTGACTTGTGCCACTAAACTTAAGAGCTAGCTCTCGTTTTTGCTCATTTTATAGTATAAGGACTGAAGGAAGTTGGTGTGGGATGTGGTATTTTGTATTTTCTGAATGTCTCATAGGAGACTGGTCTTGGGATTAAAACATTCAGGTCTGACCCTTGCTGCATGTAGATTCACTTTTAAAATTAATTTAATAATGCAGTGATTATTCATGATGGCCCAGTTCATTTTTAAGCTGGTTTAAATGGGGGTCTTTTGTGATTTTCTATGGAAGGCACATAATTTCTCACATTTTCTCCCCAGACAAGGATATTTTAGGATTGATCTTCGGAAAACTTGCAGGAACACCTGGTCCCATTTCTTTGAATAGATTATGCTATTCTCTGGATAATCTCTGTCTTGTTGATAGTGCAACATGGTATATTGACACTAATGTAGCACATCTATAATTTTTTTTGCAACCCTATTGGCTACTTTCCATTAACAAAATCCTTGGACAATTATCAGGCCATAACCCCCATTTACATTGATATTTATCCTCCAATTATTTCCATGGGAAAGCAACTAACCCAGCAGAAAAAAAAACCAGCTCATGAGTTTCACCTTTATTGTTTTAAGTGGAAGAAAACAAACTTGTTTTGTGGATTCCACCAGTAGTGACATTAGAAAGCTTATCTCAAATGCTGCTCTGGAAAGTGCACAAACAGTCAGTAAAATTTTGCTGTCAACACACAAAGCAAAATTTAATGAAGGTGTTATAAAATAATTAAACCCCTCTCAGGCAGCTGGTATGTGGGCTGACAATGTCCTTGGCTGAGAGATTATCGTCAAAATTTCACATTTTCCCTCAAAGCTTCGCTTCTCTGCCAAATATTTATTTTTCCAACAATACTTCAGCCACTTACAGTACATTATCACGTGACACACCAGCTGCCTGAAGGGGTTTGTTTACTGATTATACACTTGATAGAAACTTATTCTTTGGACAGTGTTATTCATCTTTTAAAGGACATTAGGCCTTGGTAAATTACTCTTAATGCACAAGCACCGTATCTTTTCTAGGGTGAAGAGAGTGGGAGAAGAAAACTGTGATTTCCCTCGTGATACTGCAGAAATTGGGATATAAACTCCCTTTGCTGTGGAACTCTTGCCTTGCATGTGGATTCACCTTTTCACCTTCTCCTTCATGCGAGGTCATGAGGTCTTGCTGCAAGAGCAGGCTGCTCACTGTGTTGTGTTTTTAGGGTAGACACTTAACTCTCCCTTTTCCTCATTCTACCCAGCAGAATAAATGGGTTTAGGCCAAATTTCAGGGAAAGTTGTGGAAATGCTTGGGGGTAACCTGACATGGACCAACAACATCCAGTGGGAAAAGCAACAATCTTAGTAACTTCATGCAATGGGAATTGTGGACAAGCTCTGGTAGAGTGGCCCACTCTGCTCGAATGCTGACCCAACGTCACTGTTTTTACCATATGATTTGATTATTGATAATGAAATGGTTCATCATGTGACATAGATTCATCCATATGTCGTCATTGGTCTAATTTTTTAAAAATTTTGTTTTACTATAAATTTGAATTCATTAAAAAAATCATTACAATCCTTTCTTTTTAACCCGATCAGGGTGTTGCCCAGAAATATGGAAGAACGTCTCCAACCCACATGTTACCTTTCTGCTAACACAAAAGGTCTTAAAAGAGAAGGATAATTGTGTGATCTTACAAATCTACATGTAGATGTTTTTACTCTTTCCTCAGGAACTGTTCAATGCTCATCCTGGACGAAAGTGGTTGGATCAGTTTTTGGTTCCATGTGAAGTTAACGGCGCTAATCCAGACCATGACACAGGTGATCCTCTCCATGCACAAGGTGGGCTTTTTGTAGACTCATTCCGTTATTTTCACCCTTCCCAGCGTGACGCTTACACCAATTGGTGCACGGTGACCAGTGCGCGTCAAACCAATTACGGTACAAGAATTGATTACATTTTTGCCGATAAAGAACTTGTTGCTAAAGAATTCCTAAACTGTGAGATACTGGCCGATGTCGAGGGCTCAGATCACTGTCCAGTTGTAGCAACTTTGAAGACTGCTTTTCAAGCTGCATTGAAACCTCCTTCCCTTTGTACGAAGTTTATGCCTGAATTTTCTGGGAAACAACAGAAACTTAAGTCTTACTTTTTGAAACATGGACAACAGTCGCAGAGTCAACCCGAGGCTTGTTCTACGGACTTAAGTGTTACACAGGAAACAAAGACTTCCTTGCGGTGATGTCAAAAGCAAATCTGTAAAACGTCAAAAATCTGCCGGAGGGAAAAACAAAGCTGAAGGACAGCCAAAGACAAATCTGTTTAGTTTCTTTAAAAGGTCTACGGACCCGGTTGCAGTCAATAAGAGTGTTACCGAGGTGACTAACGAAGCGTTTGATTTAGTTAAGACTACTCCTTCCGAGTTTGAACAGTACGCAGGCGCGGATAACGTCTCTTCACTCTCAAATACCTCCGTTTCATCTTCAGACGCGGCTTTAAATGTTTCTGAGAACGAACCTGTCCCTGAAAACGCATTGAGTCGCAAAGATTGCGCAGAGAAGCGTAAAGTGGATGCGGCAATTTGGAAAAGTATTCTCTCTGGGCCGCGTCCACCCCCTCTTTGTAGGGGTCACAAGGAGCCGTGCGTCCTAAGAACAGTGAAAATCAGAGGTCCAAATCAAGAGAGGCAGTTTCATTGTTGTGCCAGACCACAAGGACACAGCTCCAATCCTGAAGCTCGTTGCAATTTCTTTAAATGGGTGAAGTGGAGTTGATTTCGGAGGTTGTGTAAATATCATGGGGTGTTCCCACAAGAACATGAGAGCTTTAAACTGTCATTTTCCAGAAAAAAATAAAATATATCAGTCCTTCTTTAAAGGAAACAAAGATTTCCAATGAACCTGTTTGAAAGAAATCGTTTGAATACACTTCTACCGGATTGAAGGAAACATCGAATGAGCATTTTGAAAGCAATTTTATCAATCAACTCTAATGGGGAATATGTGGTTAAAGTCCCATTTCCAAGCATATTCCTTGTTTAAAGTTTTCAGAGTTTGATCAGGTAACCAAAAATTACTGGAAAATGAAACTTGCATCTGCATATTTTCCTCCAATTTTTGTTTAAGAGGGGGGGGCCCGAAGGGGGAGGAGGGGTAGTTGTGAGTGCTCTTCTCCTTCATGCACTCCTCGAAGGAGATGAAACATGCGTGCGAAAGATCACAGTCAATTACTCAACAACTCTATCAATGTATATGTGTTATTGATTTAAGGGGGTAAGTTTTCAAAGAAACTGTGGTGCTGCTCGGTGGGAGGGTATAACAAGATAATATTGGTTTTATCAACTGAGTTGATAATGTAAATTGGCCACCGTAAAGAGTTTACAGGCTGACGTTTCGAGCGTTAGCCCTTCGTCAGACCGAATGACGAAGGACCAATGCTCGAAACGTCGGCTTGTAAACTCTATACCGTGACTGATTTACATTATCAACTCAGTTAATGAATTAATGTGTGTTACTGTTTGTCAAAGGTGACCCCTCCTAAAGAGTAAATAGCACTTATGCAAAATGTCTATATGAACTTTTAAAACATCAAATCAGAGACTAATGAATAAAACAACTGTTGATATTCTCATTCAACCAAATTTTACGTGCAATTTTTTGCGTCTATTTTTTCCCTATGACTGAAGTCTTCATGATGCATAAGAACACCTTTTAACTGAGTGTCAAAAGTAATGCATAACTTCTCTCGTTTTGATCTACCTTGACTGGTGATTGGTCCAGAAATATCACAACATCCTCTCGACCAATCAGATCCAAAACTAAAATGTTTTCCTGGGCCTCGCACAGGTGCGGGTATAATTGGCAACTTGTACTGCTTTTCTTTTTTCTGCTTGGCTGTTGAGATTAAGTTAATTTTTTACGACACTCAATTAAAGGGCACTCAATAAAGTACAACAGTACTGCTTATAGTAAACTTCTACTCAGCGAGGTATTCAAACATTCAGCAAAGCCTATGAATACAAAGATATTACTGGTTAAATACTGAATATCTACAAAAAAAAGGCAAAAAAACTTAAAATACACCGTAAACAAAGTAATGAAAAAATTCAGCAAAGACGTAATTGAGTAGTAGTCTGAAATATCTAAGTTTCGTCCAAAGTACAGAATCCTGAACCTGCGAAAATCTTAGGAAATCAAGTAGGTCATTTTTAACGCACTTTCAAAAGGTAATAAGAAATTCAAGGTAGCTTATAGATACAAGTACTACAAACTGATTGCTAAACATCCGAAATGTCTTCCATCAGCTTAAACGGTTCACTTGAAACCCGACGAAATTCACTATTATCTCATTTTTCTCTTCTTTCCTAATCAGCTAACAATTTACTTTAAACGCGACTAAAGTCCACTGTCTCGTGAAATCGACCAAGATAATATTTGGTTGTGGGTGATACGTGTTTTGCTTACCAAAATTAAACCCATCATTAGCTGGGTACATGTATAGCCTTGTAATCTTACATAGTAACGATACGAAGGGTTTAGGATCGATATTTCCCATTATCCTCTCTGCTTACTGGTTGGCCTAAATTCTGTGGTAGTGATCCCCCTCCCTCCCGACAAGCCAAACTCTAGAGGTGATGTTATGAGAACTCGCACTAGGACTAGTATTGAAGTTCAAGGTTGAGGTGCGGTAGCTATCATTGGCTAACATTTGCAGGAACTAGGCCCCGTTCTAGCCTTTGCTATGCCTACTGAACTTAATAAAAATCTTAAAGAAAATGCGTGGAAAGCATTCTGATAACGTAATGAACGACATTGCTACTTACTGAATCAGCATTCATAAAGTGTCATTGAAGTTGTTGAGGATACTGAAATTTTTGAAAAACTTGAGGAATACCTTCCTAACAATGCCACTCTGTTTCCAACAGAGATTGCGTCAACAACTACAGAGCCGCGTACCTATTCGTTAACTACGCATAGAAATTTGGTACACACATTTGCACGTTGTTAGACGCATATATACGCGAACAAATGTACGCACATATAGGTATTATGCGCGTCTGATGTGTGTTTATTATTCGATACCATGATTTTCCTTTGCGTTACCTTGAGTAAAAGAAAGAACGTTTCGATCTGAAAATAAGGCGAGTCGACGTAGAATTTGCCTCTTGAAAAAGGCTGTCAAGTTACATACATGCACGACGCATCGCTTCGGGTATTCATCGAATAACGAGAAGTAGCAACTTAATTGCTAGTCTTGTGTTTCGCACGAAGAGAAAGATACGGAGAGAAAGTACGGCTTTTAGCACATGCATTTCCACCGATTGTTTTCTAATTAATAATGGTAATAGGACTGAATTGTCTATAATCATACGAGTGATTAACAAAATAGGACGACCGCGAAGCGGGAGACCTATTTGTTCATCACAGGTATGATTACAGACAGAATCGGAAGACACGAAGCCCTGTTACAAAATAGTCAAAACCATGACAAAATTTGAGAAAGAAAATAGACATCGGTTATACGTTTTTAGTAAAAAAAACTGTTAACTTGGTGAAATGCGTGACAACGCACGCACATGACGCGTTTTGTCCACTAACATAGGCACGACGTGTTTACTATCCCTTAAAATATCCTATTACACTGTCCAATTACAAGCATGACGCGTGCACTGTCCTATTAGTGCTCAAATCGGGCTGGTGATAACCAATCACGTTCGAGAATTTTGTTATAGTTTTGACTAAGAGCTAAGTGGTTGTAGTTAGACTTTTGGCTGCTGAGAGTGCTAAAACCTTTCTTTTGGCAGCTAAGCGTACATTCTGTGGAACTTGGATTGATAGTTTTGATACGTTTGGACACTTATCTCAACGTCTCCACACTTGTTCATCTCTTTCGGTGGTTGCAATTGACTTTGCTCGTGTGGAGCTTCATTGACAATCATTGCCATTCCCTCGAGCTGGTGTACCTCTATGTGGCAGTGAAGAAACCAGTTGCCAGGATTATCGGATAGAAAGTTGATAACAACGTACCCTCCAGCAGGGAGCATAACTGTGTCCTTTCTGATCGTATGGGAATCTATAGAAAAGCGCTTTTCTCGGTTCCATCTTGGTCTGGTACATCTCCTCTTATCGCAGTTCTGTTGTGTGCAGTGAACGTCATCGCAGTATATA